TTTAATTTACCCTTTGTTATTTTAACATCAAAATGTTGAGCGATCACCGGATAGTTTACAAATGGAATGGATATTGCTGTGACAGCATCTCAAAATGGGCGTGTTGCATCATAAAGAACTTTATTTGTATTTTTTGTGTTCCACCTCTGAACGTATCTAGTCTATTTAAATTTTAATAGTAATTGTTTTAATAAATTGAATGAATCTGAAATGTTGCGTACTTAATATTGACAACTGAGTTATTTTTCTGTATAAATATTTTCAATAAACAGACAATTGATAAGTACAAATTCAAATATTAAGTAAAGTGTGTTGAGAACATGATCGTTTAAATTCATTTAAATCACATTTATATAACTTTGCAAAAATTCATTTATCGACAATTTTCTGCCCTTTGCATTTATGATATATTGTTTCAATTTATCAATTACATTTTTTTCCTTCGAAAATGGCTAAATTATTAAAAATTAAATAGTATTTATTGAATCAAATATTGAGAGTAGTGGATATTTAGTTTCGCTGTATTACGAGTTTTCATCATTTATTCAATCGAATGCCTTTTATTTCTGAAACAAAATTCTTTGCCGATCGAAACATTTACCTTGTTTGAACAATTGTTTGCGCCGTTGTTAAGGACTGCTTGGACATCTAACTTAAGCTTTGGTAGCGGACTTTTCGTTTAATTGCATAAATATAATGTAGACACAACCCACCAATTCCGATTTTTTCGCAAATGTTTAGATACCAAACTGAATTGGAATACTGGATACGGATTTTCTTGGTTTTCCACTCCAAATTTCTTCCGATTCAACATTCCATATTATTACGGCTGTTGCCAAGAAATAAATCAAAGCCAATACCGAACTAAATATCGATGGCCACCTTTTGGCACTTGTGTCAAGAAAAAAAAAGTGGTCGAAACATTTTTCAATGGTTAATGATCTAAATAGCACTTAAACCATAATTGTGTCCCAAACGCGGACGATTTTTGATCGATAAAGAGTCTCACAACATAAGAGCAATTAAATACATCGCATCAGGTGAAGAAATAACCATCTATTATGCTGATGATTATTTCGGCAATAAAAATGAAAACTGAGAATGCTCAACTTGCATAGATATTGAAGTACCGAACCATTCTAATCCAGTTCGAGTAGAGTAAATCGAAAATGCAACAAATGATAGATACCACGACTTTCATGTCTAATTGCCATTTCAAACTTAAAAAATTCAGTTCTCAAAACAAACATAATTAAAAGATGTGTCCAAAACAAATCAAAATCCAAACAATAAAACCAGCTTATTTCACGTGCTCTTTATTCAACGCAAATAAATCAAGTACGTTATCATTTTCATCGAAATGTGGTCCAATTAATTGATATGACACTCATATTTTCTACTTGGAATATAAATAAGGTGGTTACAGATCAGTGATAAAACGACATATAATTCGTTTAAGTTTTTCAAAGTCACATGATGTTTAATTCTAGCACAAATTTTCAATAATCTTTTTACTGAAGTCATGTGATCGAGATGTTGTCGAATTATAAAAATGTAGTTGAAAAATCCACATTCATGCCCATTGAGTCAAATACAAAACGAATTTAATTCAATTGTACAATGCTCCTTTTGAACACAATATACATAATCCAATGTCTACAGAAAATTCCAAGTAAGTTTTCTCACAAAATGTTTTAGCTCTGATACTTCTCTCTGTCCAAACCCAAATTATTTGTTTATTTGGAAACATTGCTGCAAAATCATTTTTTTTTTACGGATTCAACAGCATTGGCTCGAACACTTTTTCGAAACCATCGACAGCAAGTCTTAAAATCTCAGCTAATTGTTGTTCATAATTTATTTAGTTTTCTTCAGTGAGTGCCACTCAGTCATCGTCGATATTATACGATAGAATGACAACAACTGCGTATATTTTTCTGAATATATATTTTCAGTGAACTGACAATTAATAAGTACAAAATTTGTATGCATGTATGTATGTACTACAAATGTATGTACTACAAATTTAAATGCTAAGTAAAGTGTGTTGAGTACAAGATCGTTTAAATACATAATTTGAATTCATAATTTTTCCGTTTTTGATATTCTAGAATTTCGATTAAAAACAAAATCAAAACTATTCAAATGAAAGCAAAAACACATTTGAATTTATATGACTTTTCAAAAAATTGCATTTATTGCTGTCCTTTTCAGTTTTGTTCAAAGCTTTTTTTTCAGGATTGTCACAAACTGAAATCGTTTTATGTTCCTAATTTGCTTATTTTTACATTTTCTATTTTTTATTTATTGAAATTTGTTGACTTTATGATTGCCAAGGAGGGTTAATTTTACATTCAATAATTTCAACTCTTGTTAAATTTAATGGTGAAACGATTTCAATAGATTAATACGTATTATATTGGATTTATTTATTGTATTTTTTCTTTTTTCTCTGTAGATACATTGCCATATTCAAGAGAGCTATAAAGATTTGAAACAATCAATGTGCGTGAAGCACAATCTTGTGAAAAGCATTGCGTTTGACGAAAAGTCACAGTTGGAGTGTTTTGGAGGTGTTTTTTTAAGGTCTTCATATCGAGAAATTTGTTCTAAGCGCCCAATAAAAAGTGTTTAACGTATGAATTTTTGGTCTTCCTGTATCTCCTGATCCAATACTTACTCTTTTGAGAATATATAGCAGGACAAAGTTTATACAAAGTGATCAGGCTTAAATCAAAACAAATCGCAAGTATTTGTGTCACAAAACTAATTTTATTGAATTGATTAATTCAATTTCACATGAAATAGATCTTAAATTTTCCGAAATTTGACACACATTTGAAAGGATATTTTGAAAAAGCAGATATTTTTTTCTCGGTGTTGCGACCTGCAATTAAAACACAAGAATAAATAAATAAGTTAATATAAAATCTGGGTAAATGTTGAAGAGTGACTTCTTACCATTTTGAAATTTGGATTGGCTTTTATCTGCTGCTCTTATATTCCTCTTCACAGTATGGGCATTTGTGTTCACATCCGCATCGTTTGCATCTGCAATACACGTACTTATATTTTGCTTCCGAGTCTGAACTTTCATACGTGGAGTCCGAATGCTCGCTTCTGGTATCCGAGTCCGAATTTGATTTCTTGTCATCTTTGTCATCCATTGCGCCTTAAAACAAAATTATATTGATTAACATTTATGAATTTTATTTTGTGTAAACAAAATTTATCGAACTTTCTTTGAAAAATGAAAAAATATAAAATTAAGCAAAAAAAACATGAATGTGTAACACTAATTACCTTCTTTTTCAGTACTTTCTTTCACTCGGTTGACAATGCGATTGAATTGAAACCGCTTGTTCGGATGAGCTTATATAGTAAATTCACCAGCTATGACACTCATCAAAGTGACTCAAAAACTAGCTTATTTCAGCTATATTTTGAATAAATACGCATTCTTATCGAAGAGTTGTTTGGACAGTCGGTTAATTTGCGGCGACCAATTCAAAAATGATGATCATACGTCGCGCATAATTGTTATTTATAAATGCGATCTTTTATAAGACTGAATGTGATGATTCACATGAAATTCAATACATTTTCCATAAAATCAGGCCCGATCAGACCAATTTATTTGCTAAACAATTACGAAAATAATAAGCACTGTGACCGGCTCTGGTTGATCGGCTTCATGCTATAAATGAGTATGCGTTTATCGACTTGTGTTTATATAGTGGTATAACTGATTTCAAGCTCAAAATAACTGCGAATTAATCAACAATTAAAACTGATAAAAATATCAAATCTTATCATTTCTTTTGAAATATTCGTGTATTAGTTTGTTATTGAAATCTTTGTTAAATAAATAATTCTATTTAAATAACATAAAAGGTATCGGTTTTTTCAGCGAAATTATTTTAAATTGAATTTCTGCTTTGAAATTGTACGATTTCAATGAAATGAATCGAAAAAAACTTAAAAACGAAATAATTTTTTTCAGCCAAACACTTCTTCTATACATATTGAAAGCGTCAATGGTCAAGAGAAAGGTTGAAGAAATTCAACCGTCAATGGAAAAAAACGAGAGACCAAATTAAGATCCACTTCAAGAAAAGAGAAAAAGTACCATGAGTTTTGAATTTTTCTCACTCAATATATGTCAAAATAATAATTGATATATATATTGATGTATTTCAATGTAATTTTGAGTGAAAAAATCCTTTTCCGGATCAACTCTTTCCAAGTCTTAATTATTCACCATATTTTGCCAATCAATAATCCAATGAAAAACATCACCATTGTTACATTTTTCCCCCAGAATTTGATTTCGTTTCTACCAAGATTGTTTTTACAACAATAATTTGACTCATAATTCGAGAATATCCGCTGTTGAAAATTGTCAATTTTTTTTTTTAATCAAATGGAAATAATCAAACAAACTACTACGACTTACGACCAGTAGAATTATTTTATTACATTTATAATGTCTTATAATATACAATTATCTTCTTTTTTCATTTCAAAACTTATGTCAAAATTAAAGGTATCGCTTTTCACTTCAAATTCAAATCATTACAATCCATCGTTTGTATTTTTTTTTCTGATTGAAAATACAAAATAATTATCTTTTATCAAAGTTCAGTGATTGTTTTTATTTTTGTTGCTTCGTTTGTTTTTTTTTCTGTTTTATTCAAGAGTATAACGATGCTATCATTTGTATTCCTTACGATCGAATGGTCTTTTCATTAAAATAACAGCTCGATTCGACATTGAGTGGTTCTATATTTTCAAAAACGTTCAGTCATCAACACGCATGTGGACACTCTTCAGATTTAAATTTACACATTCAATGATTCACTAGCGTTGGTTATTTATTCAGGTGCTCGAAAAAAAAAAATCTCTCTCTCTATAATATAGAGCCTATATATGTATATCAGATTATATTTGTGTGAATTATTTGGATAATTTGAAAAGATCTCTGTTTTGTGTGTGATTTTCTTTGTTTTTTGTATTTTTCCAAACAAATTCTTTCTGCATTATTATTGTTATCTGTGGTTGATTTTTTTTTGTAGCAAATAAATAACAATAAAAAACTGTATATCTAGTTAAGATTCTCTTGAAATACCTCGACCCCATCATTATCGTTTTCCAAATTATTATTTTGATTATCATTTTGTTCATTTGATTGTGACGCTGAGTTGGCTGGTTCTTGTTTCATAATTATTTCATGGCAAAATGGGCATCGATCTTGAACGTACAACCATTTACGCAAACAAACACCATGGAAATAATGATTGCATCGAGTGATTTTGGCTGATGTCATTTCCTAATTTAAAATTGAAAACAAAAAACGGTCAAATTATGATGATATTATTTTGGCTTGTAATTTGACATGTAATCGCATTTTGATCAGTACCTGATAGCAGATAGCACAAACGTCATCAAATTGTTCCAATTGTTGATAGCTGGCCTCTGGAAGTGAGGAGATTTTATGAACGGCCGTTCGTCGTTTCATGAATACTGCCCATCCAGCACGTGCTTCGCACCAAATATTGAAATAGGCATGAATGCCCATCATAAAAGCTCTAATTGCACCACCTTGAAAATGTTATAAACGAATATTTATCAGAAAAATCGGTCTCATTGTGGCGAAAGTATCGTCGTAACGTACCTGATTCAAATAGGAGAATCCAGGCTCCATTGAAGAACAAGAATATTCCGAAACAGAATTCAACGGAATTTCCAAAGGCTTTTATATAGTAAACGTAGTCATCTAATTTTTCCCAGAATGTTTGACGTCTGGCATCCAACAGGAAAAGCGTGTATGTTGCAAGACTAACCAAAACCTGAAAATTCAACAAAATCGAATTAATTAATGAAATTAAAAAAAAAAAAATCGGTGACGCCGATGTGCTTACTTTGACGATGACTTCAATTGAAAATGCTGTAACAGCTAGCAGCCATGTTGACGGTGGATGTCGTGACCATAGAGCGGTTAATAATACAATTGGTGCAACTAATAGAAAACCACAAACGCATAAGGCGCGAATATGTCGTTTTCGTGATGGATTTCGTGCTGCGCTCAATGACATCAAAATCGGTGCAACGATATTATGCAAAAAGTGTAGTAAAGCGGTGATCAATAGACAAAAATTGCGACACAATCGAATGAAACGTTTTTCGGGCGACAATGATGTGAGACCCGTTTGAAGTGCCAATATATAGAATAAAATTGCCGATACGGTTCCAATCGATTTATCCTCATCGTAATCTTCGGATAATAAGAACCACTGAAACATTTTTCCAATATAATAACAAATCAGCGATACAATGCTGGTCATGCCAAGCACTGCCGTTAACGTTTCACAGCCACTGACCAACAGATTTTGCATTGTTGTCCAATAGGATAGTGTGTCCTTTGACGATAGCATAAGCGTCATAAAATGTTCACCAATTCTGAAAATGTAACGAAAAATCGAAAATTGAATGAAATAAAATCTGCAATAAAATCAAATTCATCTTACCTAATGGTCCAAAAAGCTCGTAGCACACATGGCACATTCAAGCGTTGCCATTCATTTTCAACCAATGCCGATAGCCCGAAATTGGTGGCAAAATTTTTTGCATGCTCATAACCATTCAATAGCGTTTTAATTATATCAAATGATGAACTCCATAGTGCAATTTTCGATAGAGCCAAAGGCATTATAGCGGCAAATGCGGGGGAATGTTTGAGTATTGGCTGGGGTAATGGTAACATGGCTAGCAACAATGGCATTAGAAAGCTAACGGGCAACAATGTTTGAATGCTTTTGTATTTCGGTCCCAAATGTATATACGAGAATATTTTCCCAATTATCCATTGGGCAAATAGGTGCGGTAGTATGGCAACAGCAACACCACGCGGATCCATCAAACGATTTACATTCAATGCCAAAATATCTTCCAGCAAACATGGCCCATCACCAATCAACGCTATCGCAGATACATTGCTCCAATAAGATAGAAATATTAAACCTATTGATACTATGTACATATAAACAATAACCAAGTGCCTTGTCCATAACATAAATATACAGGCGGCGCTGAGACATCCTGTTGATTAAAAATTAAAAAAAAAAAATCTGATTAATTCATTTATTTTGAAATGACATAAAATCTAAAAAAAAACTTTGGACTTCAATCATTTAACAAATCAGTCAATTTTTTACCGTCTGTCTCGCATTTAAAATGTTGTTGTTTTTGCTCTCTCCCTTCTGAATCACAATCATAAACCCCTTGCCCCCTCTTTGATTGAATTTTTCATGAATAATGTTAGATCGGGTGCTTCTAATATTGTGCTACGTCATAATGACGGCTGTACTTTAGACTGATATGGCTGGTGTTTTTTTTATTCGTTCTTTTCTGTGTCGCTCTTAAACACATTAATACGTAATTTCATTTACAGACATCATATATGCTATCAAATGTTGAAAAATATTAGCGCGCCGCACACACGGTGGCTGGTGTGTGAGAACGCATGAATTGCTAACTTGTTCAAGAATTATGTGTACTATCACTTTTCTGTGAACGTTTCTCTACCGTTTGATGTTGTATGTATATATATTATAACACAATTAGGTTGATATTATTTATTGATTGATTAATTTTGTGTCGAATAATTAAATATTGTTCGAAAGACAAGGGGCGACAGAGGATACAATGACATTTCACTTCGATTCGATTCATTTCACTTAAAATAAATTCCAATAAATTTGTCAAGACGTTTAAGTTTGGAATCTTTTGGTCGGTCAAGAAATTGTAATGAATCGCATGAAATACTGATGGAAACAGCAGTTTATCAAATGTCAACGTCATTCTATTTTACTTTCATCCGGTTTAATTTTAGCGCATGCATAAAATAGCTCGAATAAGAAAACAAACAACGAAAATTTATCTTTGTTCTAATGTTCATTCAAATCAACGAGAAAAAATGTGCCACATTTGAAATTGAACGACAAAAATTAAAATCGAAATCTCACATGCAAAGCATTATTTTATAGTAATTGGATTTTGAAAATCGGTGCTATGTTACCGAATTTTTTTTTCTCGGCCGTAGTAAGGTGTTGTTGTCTCTATTTATATACTATTGAACAACACGCCATAATAACCGAGGTGGTGAGCACCACTTATATAGTGGACACGTATTGTACTCGTAACATCTCGCACACAGTTTGTAAATTCATTTTGTTTTTTGTTTTTTTTCGATATGTGTGTGACTATCCCTGTCTTTCTTGCTGCCTTTTTTTTCGGCCGATATTCTTTCAATATATCGCCAATAAAATAGAATAATCAAAAATGAGAACATCCAAGCACCGTCAACAATGTGACAAACAATTGCTTTGCGATAAAAAAAATGAGAGAAGAGAGAAGCAACAAAAAAAATAAATAAATAAATAAACAAAATACATCACATTAACATTCACACATGCAGCATTTCTATTTTAATCAAAGTGGATGTGCTGTGGCAATGTGACGCTTCACCACTATTTGGGGTTATGTAAATTATTGCTGACTGTCTCGTTGAGATATTTTGTATTTATCAATGTACCCGTACATAATATACATCTCTCTGGCGGGTGCCATGTGGAAAATAAAAACAATGACAGCCGCAGCACCAACAACATCGACAGGAGCCGATGAAATGAGCAACGACCACGTATATTTGCAATTGATTCCACGCAATTCCACGCCACTTCGTCTAATTAGCATATGCAATGTTCACACAAACACAACACACACACACACAATTACGATACAAATTGCACAGTGGAATCGAACACAAATTTAGAGCAAACATACTTCTCACGGCTAACAGTGACGTTGTTAATCGTTGCAATTGAACAAAAAAAAAATATGATGATTTAAGAAAATGCATATATCCGAAGGAGGCAACACATCTGTGTCAATTTTCATAGTCGATTTGTTGATTTTATGATTTGTGTGATTCAAATTTGTTGTTGTTTTGCGCAAATATCCACACTTACCTAATAAACATGATGTAAATTTTAAACTGGTCAATGATATTAATTTGTAAAATTCGGTGTCATCGACGGAACCCGCTGACATAGCATCACCGAATAATTCAGCTGACGTTGTATTTAGAATTTGATCTAAGCTGCTATTACTACTACTAAAATTACTATTGATGGTGCCATTGAATAGATGGTTATCACTCGCAGCGCCAGCCGGGGATGATGTTGTGGTCTGATCGATTGGAATTTGGCCATTGACCAGTATGTTGGAGTCATTTTGTGTTGAAAATGGTAGTCCCATACTAATCTTTAGTATTTCATCAATGATGAAAATTGGCGGTACACGCAATATCACATCAACAAAACCCAGCATTTTTGTTCTCATCGACATCGTAACCCTTTCGATATTTCTTGTTTATGTTGTTGTGTTTTCACTTAAATGCACGGAATCTATTGTGACGTCTACTTAATTCTTCTACTTTTTTTTTTCTTATGTTGATAAGTTGCTGGTTTGTTCAGCTTTGATTTCGTGTTGCTTCTTGAATCGTCGCGCAATTTCATCGACGAACCAACAATTTTTGTTGTTGTTGTTGTTGTTTTGTTTTCAAAGCTGTGGTATTGTACACCGTGCCTGTTGGCTTAAATTGACACCTTTATACAAATTCCATGCCATTTACTTGTGTACACCACATCAAATCAAAAGCACCACTTGTTCTTTATCGCCTTCATTAAATGACCTTTTTCAATCGACACAAATACAATTGTGAAAAAGAAAAAAAATTCACGGATTTTAAAGAAATAACAACGAGACGAACGAACAAAAAAAAACACACAAAAATGAAGATCTACAGAAAAATTATCACGTTTCTGTGCCTTCGCGTTTATATCGTTCGATTTGATTTCAGAAGCGTACGCTGTAGCTTAATGTTCACCTTTAACGTGTGTTTATTGGTGTCACTCAATATGGTTTTTTTTTAAATAGATATTTTATTCAATTTTGTTTTCTTTGTACAGGGAACTCGTTGACTTTTTAATTGAGCCAGCACACAATTGAAGTACAATTAGAATAAACTAAACATTATTATTTCTAATGCATTTCGGATACGATATAATTTGTAATATTTGTACACTGTGTTTTCATTGAATTTTCTATTCCGAATTTCTTCTTTATTGACACACATACACTTCGAATATTGTTATGTTTCATTTGATTCTCTCTGTCTCAGTATCTGTCTCTTTCGAATATTTGATGTTGGCCAATAACAGATGATCGTTCGGACGAAATATTATTTATGTTTTGTTTAAAAAAAAATGTTATATGTTTACATAAAATTAAGCGTTTGTTTTCATTAAAAAATTAAACAGTTTTTTTTGGTAAGCAAATTAAAAAGAAAAAAAAAGAAATTGCGAAATTTATGAAGTTGTTTTTTTCTTCTTCTTTCATTTGAGTATTCAACAAAACGCAGTGCAAGAGTTTATTTCGTATGTGTTATATTTATTTGACACGAAAAAAATATATATTCTCTATGTTTCACACACTATAGAAAAACTCTTACTGTCGTTTGACAAGAAAGATGTGAAACATTCGAAGAGGGCACTGCGTGTTTGACGTATGTGTTTAATTCATTCAAACTTTTTATATCCATAGAACATTCTCGCAATTAGTTTTTTTTTCTTCAGCGCATCGAACAGCACCATCTATTGTAAGAATAATGCAACACACTTTTAGTTAAACGCATTTTATATTAAAGCGAATACAAGTGAATTAATTCGAATGTTATCGTTTGAAAATGAACAGTTTTAATAAATTATTCAAAAAACCGTCAAATTGTTTGATAACAGATGAATTGGGCTTTTAACGATAATTAGTACTAGCATTTTTTTTTATTCGATTAATAAATAAAACAATTTTAAATTGTATTTTATTCGAGAAAAAAGTTAGAAGCCAATGGAGGAGCCCAACAATTTTTTGAATTTAAGTTTAGCAAAAAAAACCTATTAAAGTAGTAAATATAGAAAAAAACACCTCAAAAGTAAATTCAGTTGAGTTCACACATGTTGGTAATTAAATTTAAACTATAATATAATCATTTAGTTGGATATTGATCGGTAATTTACAGGAAGTGCACCTGAATTGCAAATTAACTTCTTAAATTAAGATGCGAACATTTGATTCTTTAGAATTTTTTTTGGATACGATTTTTTTGGATATGCGTGTCTCATTCGATTACTTTTAAAATTGCATTAAATTTGTCTGCCTAGGTTTTACTCCAACGAATGTCGGACTATGGGCATCACTTTTCAGCTATTTTTTAGCTATCGCGATTTCATTAATGGAAAGTTTTGATTCAAGATTTCTTTTTATTTATGTGGTCGCCTAATTTATTGATATATACACTTGTAAGTTACGATTCTTTTCCGATTATTTTTCGATTATTTTAAATTAATTATTTTCTTTTGTGATTCTCCCCTTAGGTATCAAAAATCATCGATAGATAATAGTGCTTTTTTTCCAAATTGATATGAATTGTTATATCTGAAGGATCTCAATGTGGCGTTTAAACTACCATCTGCAATATTCATATAGATATCATTGAGTTTTGAATACCCACAGAGGTATCTTTTAAAATTCACGTCTAAGTAAAACTGGTGCATTTTTTGGTATTTGCCCAAGTTCATAGTTGCAACCAATTTGTATATAAATTAATGCTTTTCTTTCACAATTATTCTACATTTGATTGCTCTAGAATAAAAACAGCATATTAAATGGTCGCATATCAAAATCTATGTTAAAAAAACGTCTTGTTTCGCTTTGATATGCAACCATTTAATATGCCCTTTTTATTCGAGAGCAATCATTTATTTTGAATACCAATTTCAAAAACTCAAAAAAGGCAATAGTCTTAAAAAATAAATTTTTCGATCTAGATTTCCGTCTAATTGCATTGCAATTAAATATATTAAGGCAAAAATGTCAACCAATGGATCTGTATGAAATTTCACATGAACAGAAATGCGTTAAAAATGTAAGAAATGGGTAATAATTCTTTTTTTTTTATAAATGGCCACTGTATTACTCATGGTCAGTATTCCAATGCGTGCGAAAAATCTGAATTGCATGTGAATTTATGAAGAAAAGAGAAAACCACAGAAGTGGCATAAAAAATTAATGAATGAAAGAACAAAAAAAAAACGAAAAATTTCTAATTTCAGTTTATAATTCTTTTTGCACCTTATATTTTCATCTCACTGGTTTTGTATTTTCAAGTGCGGTCCTTAGGAATGCATTCATGATACATTGTTTGTATGTGACAATGAATGGCTTTCACTTATGTGTGTGTTTGGACTCAAGTAGTGTATGGTATTGTTTATCAATGTGTGATTTTTGTGTCCATTTCATGGAATTGACAGATTTCTCATGCTACAAATGGGTCCATGAGTGTTAATCATGTTACGGTCAATCGTATTGCATACGTGCTTGACTTGCGTGTGTGCGCGCGCGTATGTGTGCTTGTACTGTGATTGAGTAAATGCACGAAAAATGAGAGAAGTAACGAACAAATAAAATAGTCATACAAATGACCACGCAATAATTTTATTTTTATGGTCATTGTTAAGTTAATGTTTCTGAATGGTCAAAATGAGCACACAATTCATTCTCGTCTCTCTGACGATTTTCTGGGGCTTCGAATTTTTATGGCCAATCTTCATTCCGTAGCGAACGTACATTGAATTTTATGTTTCTTTCATACAAATTATTATCGCCTTAGATTCATTCATAGCTATGTTTCTGCCTTGCATTGAATACCTTGCGACATTCGTTGTTGTTTTTTTTTTATTCTTTACATTTCTTTAGATTTTTTTTTTTCATTTACGAATTGAATTAGTTTTCGATTCTATCGAGTTATTTTTATAGCTTTCTCCCTTCCACCCATTTCTTTGCCACGAATAGAACGTCCTTTGAGTGTTTGAAATCTTTTCTATTGTGAACCACTTTTGATTCACAAAAAGAAAACTATCGACTTTTTGTATCTTCATTTACGTTACAATATGATCGGGCTGGCCATTTCAATGACGAAGACAACCGAAAACTATAGGTGATAATTTATTTGGCAATTTTTCATGAACGTTCCATTCAATCGACTTTTGTTCATTTCGATTATTGTTGAAGAATGTTGGCAAATAGAGGCGATAGAGAGAGAGAGAGAGAGCGTCGCATAGTCTAGCACATTCGCATTTGTATTCGAATTGAACGATTGACCTGATTCGATAAAGTGTCATCTAAAAGACAAAATGATTACATAATCGCAGGTTAAAAAAATGTGTGGGAACCTCAAATGTGTTGCTTCTGGAAAATCTTTTTTTTTACAATTGATTGAATTTGATTGTGTCTCTGTGTGTGTTTTTATTGTATTTCGATATACTCGAAATTAAATCGATCGGCGCGTTTCACCCAATAATTCTCTCGCTTTGTGGAATTAATAAAAATTGCCTGCAAAACTCGCTGCAGGTAGGAATATTTTTGAATTTTTTTTTTCTTCATTCAAACGCAATTGTGATAAATAAAAGAAAATAATGACGACTAATATTTATTGATAAAGGTCTTGGAATGATGTTCCCAAGTAATATAGACATCGTCAAGAATTATGCATGGATATTGTTTGCAATCACATCACATTGAAAACGATTACGATTTCATTCGAAAAACCGTCATTTATTACAAATCGCAAGCCATTGAAGATCACTTCTTTGAAGTGTTTCGAATGGGTCAAGCGGCGAAGCGGCATGTTTTTTACTATTTTTTTTTTATAAAAGGAATAAAATTGATAAAAAGTGTGTCGACATTGACTGGCTGGTGATGAAATGGTGAGAAAAATGTCGTTATTGTCACGCGTTGATGTGATATGTCAGCACAACAATGACGGAAGATCCAATGCGGTCAAAAAATTAGTTAATTTCAATTGAACATTGTCATCAAAGAACATACCATTTTATGGGAAACGAACGAATCAAATCAAATTCAAAGAAAGATCAAATCGCCATAAAGGATTTATGAGAATAAATTAATTCGTATCGATAAAATTGAACAAGAGCAGTATAATTTGTATTGTTTTCAATTTTTCAGAAATCGATTTCAATTTTATAACTGTGCAATTTCATGAATACGATTTTCATGTATAATAATCTTGATAATAGTAATTCACTTTAGCTTTGCGAACAAAAAAGAACTATACAACTATTGAGACATATTTTAGAATGCGCAAATGCACAAACAACGGCTCATTTCAAGCATGTTTACCAAAGTGAGTTGTAAAAGCTAAACTCATTTTGGTGGTATATGAAACTTCTTAGAAACCTGCTGTTCAATTCTTCTAACAAGAGAATGTGCATACGTAATTGGATAATGATCAATGGAAATGGCAACGTCACCGAAATCCTTATGGATCGTCCATTCATTCGATTCAAATCCTTGAAGTGTTCGTTAATTTGACAATAATGAAGCCCCAGCGATGCTTTATTACGTCAAAAAGATTTTTTTTTTTTTAAATTTATAAAAATGGAATTGATAATAAGTTTTCATTTCAAAGAGTCAAGCTGTTTGCTGAACAGAATGGATTCTGACTTGTGCCAGCCTTCAGTATTCACTCAAGTACTACAGAAGAAAAGAGCTAACGAAAATCTCATTTTTCACGGGTTATTATTGCAAATTATGTGTGTTTTTTTACAGTTTAACCTTCAACTTCATGGAAATGTAATTTTAACAACACAATAATTGTCCTGAAGATGATGAATCAATTTTCGTTATTGTCATCGTCATCGTTTTGCAATTGATTCATTCATTGATTTTTCTCTCTCTATCGAGTGTTGATATTGTGTATATTTGCAAATACACTTCAGTCAACATTGTTCGGTGTGCAAATCAACGGATTGCCGACAAATGTTGCCAATGTGTCTAGCAATATAATCCCATTCATTCTTCAAACAAGAGGCATAATGTGTAGAAATTCCTATTTTCATTCAATAATAAGTGTTCGGACACTTCAGAGAAAACGAAAATAAACAAAACAATTATATGTTCTGCTTTTTTGTCATTATTCGATTGAAGAAAAGAAAATTACATCCTAATGATCATGACACACATTGATGCTCGTCTTTTTGTCATGTCTCATTAATAAATAAATAAAAATGATCTGGACAGAAAAAAAACGATGTTTCGTTGAAAATTATCCACAAAAATTCAATGGTGTTGGCATTTTCTTTGAAATGCAATGTGAAAATGTGTGCTATGCAAAGTGATATTGTCAAAGCATATTTTCTTTATTCGATTGCTTCTTTTTTTTTTCGGTTGAAACATACCGAAAACGTTGCTCATAATTCATAAAAGGTTCGATGATATTTCATTTAATTGTTTTGGAATAGACATTTTTTAGATAATGATTGGATTCGATGCATTTGGAGGATAGGACGCTTTGAAAACCATTCACCGAAAT